GAGAGAGAGAGAGAGAGAGAGAGAGAGAGAGACTGGTTGTAAATTAATTTATTATCAAGTTTAAATGATTTGAAGTAACATTTAATTGTTTTGAAGAGCAATTTTATGATTTAAAAAATATAATGAGCTTTTTCAATTCACAAAACTCTTTTATGTCAATAATAGCCTTGAATTCATGTATAAGTCTTTGAGAGGCATTTGTTGTGTATTTTATTTTTAACACTTTTATACAATAGTTTTTTAAATTTCGAAAAATATTTACTTTTTAGAAAAATAGAAAAATATATACAATTGTATATAATTTTAAATCTGTTATTATGTAAGCAAAATCTCAATAGATTATAAATAAATCATTTGAATAAAAGTAAGAATTTGTTTAATTAGTATTCATTGTGTCCCTCAATCACTATGTAATTAACAATTCATATTGTGGTCAATGATCTCAATCTCAAATATTATTAATAATATTATTTTAAATTAACGTTTTATTTAAACCAAAGTTAGCATAAAAAGTATTTTTCATTTGAAGCAATAAATTAATTTTATCTCTTTTTCAATTTTTGTGCCAAAAACAGCATTATTTGTATGTTTTGCTTAACAATATTATTTTGCAATACTATTTGTCACTAATGACTGAATAATAAAAATTTAATCATTAAATTCTCATTCATTGGAGAATTTTTTTTTTGATGATTTCTAGATTCTGTTGAGTGAAGCGAATCGAGTATTAATTTAATTAGATTTGAATGTTTAAAATGAATTTGCATTTCATATATCAAAGCAGATTAACTTAACATTTCAATGATTGCAATCAACGATTGATTGGATAAATAAATCAATTGATTTGTTTTGAGTATTCAGTGTCTGTCAGTTGAAATGATGGTTATTTTTGCCATTTTTATATATCATATGAATTTAATTGGATTTTCCGCAATAATTCTCTCAATGGCTGGATGTAAATATTTTTATTTTCAATCCTTATGTATTTGTTACTAAATTATAATTCAAAACATTATAACATGACTTAGTAAATTGAATATAACATTATGGTTGCGATTCATTGTTTCTACAATTTATTTCTTAACTAATGATTATGTAGTTATAATTGTGTCTCAATGCATGATTTGTATGTATTTGCACATAATCTAAAAATATTTTATTAAAAACCAAATAATGACTTTTAATACTAACCATAAGATAACTTTTAATACTCAACATTTATTTCCCAAAGTTATAGAAAGTTTTGTTTTAAAATGTTTTGTTTGATTGTTGATAGCCATGATTTTAAAATGACATTTTAAAACATTGTCTAAGTAAATAATGATGATAAATGAGACACGATGGTACATTACAATTATATAATTAGCAAAACAGCTCTTCTGACGAGATATTATGACAATCTATTAATTAACAAATACCTTGAAATTATAATGACTTTTTTGAAGGGCAAGGAATGACCAACGATTGCATCCCATATACCACTCCTCCCAACGATATTTACCTTTTTATTTAACTTAACATGAATTCTATGCGAATACATAAAAACGGATCATTTGTTACCATTTGTCACACGAGTTTTCTCCAAGGCTTTCAAGTTATTGTCTATCAATCAGTCCATAGTTTTCTAATTTTTTTATAGAGTTTAAAATGATAAATCTGTAAATTTTATGATTTAAACTTTGGTTTTAAAATTTATATTTATTAGAGACGAACGTGTGATTTTGATGGTTGTTTTATTGCTAAATACAGCATCATATTTATTAATATATTTTATTGTAATTATTATTTGATGATCATTCCTGTTGTAAATGCAAAGTCACTAATCTTTATGTTTACCATTTAATTAAATGATAAATTAAATGCCATTTTTAGGACAAATTTTTGCAATTTATTCCCTGCGCTAAACATTTATGAAATACGAGTTAATATATCATATAATAGGTTAGAAATTTCGAGAAATATAATAAATAAATTACATATTTTGGGCCAAAAGCGAGTGCAAGTACTGCCCCAACAACTAATCAATGCCTCCAATTATACACAAAGCTATTAATATTTTAGATCAAAGACTACCCTCTCTTACAAATTAAAGGCTATATTTAAGTTCAATGTCTTCAATGATTTCAATGGTTTAAAAATAGGATTTTTGTTGTATTTTTACGTTTTTAACGTTAAACTGAATGTCAAAATGAAATTTCTTTGACTCGTAGTTAAACACGAGATCTTTTAAATGCATATAAAATGCACATTCAATGAGAAATACTATTTTCTCAAAAAATTCCTTCATTGTTGTTGAACTGAAAAACTCCGCAAACTTTTTAAACAATTGTTTCATTTGAATAATTTTATCGCATTTTCTTTAAAAACAAACAAAAAAGTGGTCAACAAAGTGGCAAATAATGACAAAACCGCTGATCAAAATGACTTAACACGAGTTATTCAGTTATAATTTTGGTTTTAATGCATGCCTTGAGTCGAGTTTTTATGCGAAGTTTATTTCCTTTAAAAAATACGATTACTTGGGATAAAATTTAATACATTTTGTAAATATTATAAAAATATATATTATTTTTAATCATCAAATGACTTGACGTAAGCCATCGCATGAATGCTTGAATTTCTGTGAGTTTTAAGTTTCGCTTATAATGTGAGGTTTGTCTTTGAATGTTAGCTATAAATCAAATTCAAAGTAACAGTAATATTAGATAAGAGTAAATATATTGTGAATACAAAAGCCTTGATTTTGGACTACATTTTTTTTTGCTTTGTCTATAAATAGGAATTGCAAAATGAGTGAAGTTTTCATCAATTAATGTTAATTATACAAAAAAATAAATCCAATAAATTCCCTAACGTTTAATTCCTTATCACTTTTGAGAAAGTCATTAGATTTTATATTTTAAATGTTTTTAAAGTAAATAAAATTTTCACAATACTTTTTATTTTAGTTAAACTAATAGTATTGAATTAACAAAAGTATTAACGCATTTATATTCATAAAACGGGGATTTTTATTGATTTATAAATTTTTATTATTTAATCAAATGTGTTAAAAAAGCACTGATTTGTCAATAATTATGTATTAATGCGATAAATAAATTATTACAAAGTAATTGATTTATTAACACAATTAAAAATAAATAACACAAATTTTTATATTCAGTAATTTATTACTAATATTATTATCTATCATAAAATCTGTGCTTTCATTTCAATCACTTATTTTATTTTTGCAAAAAATTGAATGATTGAGTAATTGATTCATTGAATTATTCAATCGATTATCTATTGTCTTGATTAACGAGATTATAAATAATCGTTTTGATAGTATTATCCCAATAGATGTGAATAATTAGATGTCTGATTGAATGAAACCATAAAAAACTCGATAGTTTATTGAACTAACGTTTTCCAAGTATTTTAAGATGCCTTGAAAATTATCCTTCAGTTTTTGATTAACTTATAAACTTTAAAAGAAATTTATTCATTACAACAACTTTACATATGATAACAAATGTATTCCCCATTTATTTTTAACTAATATTTATAATTTGTATTTTTAAATACATTTAATTAACAATAAGTTTTAATTGAATTTTTCAAATAGTATTTATGTGCCAAAACTGAGAGCAACGAAACCATTGCCGGCTCTTCTCGAGAACAAAAACAAACAAAAGTTTCAAACATTAAATATATTCGTCAATCAATTACTAAAGAAGACAATGAAGAAGAAGAGGACGAAGAGAGCGAACCTATTGCTGAAGAGGAGACCAAACTGAACGTTAATACAATCACATGTCGGCCCATATCTGAGTCCTCGTTTGTCAGTGAAATGAGTGTTTCCAGCGGTTCCTTAAGTGACCCAAACTCTCCGATGTGTAAAATATGTCACATGAATGCTAAAGACAACGATCCCCTCATCTCTCCCTGTCGTTGCTCCGGAACCATGCAATTCATGCATTGCGGGTGTCTTATGGTATTCCTCCCATTCATTTCACTATTAATTATAATTTATTATACATTTTCATTATTATTTTGAACAAACAATTCATAGATCTTAACATTTATTTCATAATTACGTTAATATAAAAATAGTTTATTTTTAATTAAAACAAATTCTGTTTTGCGATTCTATGATTGAATTGTAATTTTTCTAAACTATTTTCTTTGTGTATTTATATAGAGATGGCTTGAGATCACGTCAAAGAAGTCACGTAAACCTTTAAGCTGTGAATTATGTCAATATCAATATCAGTGGCACAAAAAATTTAAGGTTAGTGTCATTTCCACTCTTATTGTTTGTCAATATTTTAGTACAATATTATCAATATTTTGAAGTCGAGTGGAACTGATCTCGGCTTTGATACCAACCTATCATTAGATTGTATTTGCGATTTCAAAACATGTTATATAAATATTCATTATTTGCATACATATTGAATAACAAGAAAATGCATTTTAAATTGTGTTAAACTTGTAATACACCCAAAAATCTACACAAATATTTAACACAATCGAAACTTCAGTATTACAAGTAAATTGGGTTTTCTGTTGAATTGCATGTAATTATACAAACTTTTCTCAAATTTTCTTCTCTCACCTCTGCATTCAGTTTAATTGGTTTATTATAATTTAAATTATTTTATAATAAATGAACAAAAAATTGATTTAAATATTATGTTTTGAGACCCATTTCTAAACAGATTTAACCCACGAATTAACGATACATTTAACCTCTCATTATAATACTTGAAGTGTTTCGGAACTTGAATTCATGAAAAATATCATTTATTTATTATTTAGAACACATTTTTTCCTTAAAAAAGTTTAATTTTCACAGATTTTACACATTATTACGGATTATTAATTGAAATTTTTTTCAAATTACAAAATATTTCATGAGATCTTTTAAATAATAATGTTTTATTATGTTTTTTAAAGCACTGTTTCTTTTCTTATATTACTTCTGATGTACTATGAAATCCTTTTTTCTTGTTATCTCTTTCTTTTAATTTATAATTTATTTACTTTTATCTCATTTTACGAGTTAACGATAAAACACATTTGAAACAAATCTTTCACACAAACCATAGCAAAGTCTCTCACCATTTGATAATTTTATTATTAGTAATTATTACCTAATCTTTAGTCCTTTGATTTTTTAATTTATCGTTAAATCAAAGGTTTTTTGCAATAAATTGACATTCATTTCCGTTATGTTTTATTTTAGATTTAAATCTTGTTTTAATGTTACAAAATTATATGAATGAAATATTAATTTGATTAAATTAACTTTAAATGCATTAAAATGACATTTTCCCGTCAATACCAAAATTTTAAAATCGCACTATTGATCGTTTGTTAAAATTAATAATTTATTTATGAATTATATTTCAATTGTAAAACAATTAAATATTGAGAAAAATGCTTAAAATGTCTTTGAATGGACTGACAGGTGAATCACTGGCAACTGCCTCACTGTTCCCGAAACGACAAGATATTGCACTCACTATTTGTGGTGTCGTTGAGTGTAATGGCCTGTTGTGCTGTTATAACCGTCATGTGCTTCAAGCAGGACAGGGGTCAGCGCATAGACCCGAACCGGACTGAGTTGTCTCAATCAGAGATAGTGACACTCATTTGTGGTGTTCTCTTCTTTTTGGCATTTTTTATGGCAATGTATGTGGAGGTGAAGGCCAGGAATACCATATACAAGCTGTTCGTCAAATTCATTTACCTCAACCAACAGTGGTATATCGACGAGTACCACAACAAGGACTGCGCCCCCGTCCACGTATGACATCCACTTCCCAACCGCTACCAAACCCTTCAACAACTATATTGTGTTTCCGCCACTAATTAAAGAGTCAACAAATAGAAAATCAATTTATAAAAGTTTTATATCTCTATGCAATTGTGAGATAGTATTCTAAATACTTATAATTTTTGACATAATTTATTTGGACATAAGATTTGAATTTATTTATTATATATATTCTATATATACAGTACTATTAATAATTAATTGAACGATTAATTCATTTTATTATTCAATGTTTTTGCTATTAAGCCATCAATAGCTCTAACAGTGCTCTTCAGTTCATGTGTTATTTCAATTTGATTTTGAGCTTCAGTTTTAGGACAACAACAACGAGACAATTGAAAAATTTTAACTAATTTTTATATACAATCAATTGATTATTATGTAAAATGCAATCCAAACTGAATTTATACAAAATTGTAAATAATATTCTAATACATCATCAAAATAGCTAATCATTTGTATACTTTTTCATATACAATATTTTCAAAAAACTTGTGAAATATATACAATCTATACATTAATACTATTAATAGATGTGAAGTAATTACACGAAAAACACTTCAATCAAAGGAAATTTACAGTGAATTTGAATAGAATTTAAATAAATCATTAGTTGTATACATGTATAAGAAGATCAATATAACAGATAGTTTTCTCGCAAACGAGAGATGTATTTACTTTTTCATTGTTTTTTGTTAAATTGTCGGTAAATGTAAACTTATTTATATATAAATATACTTTTCATTGGTTTAGAAACAAAATAAAACTTTGTTCTTATAGACAGACATTAGTTTCGATGTTAAATATTTGTATTATTATTAGTTTGCTTTCGAAGTGAAAATAACTTAATTTTTATATGAGAAATGACTCAAAAAGTTTTCTTTCGATAATCAATTTCATGAGAAATGTGTTCACAAATCTTGATCTAAAGATTTGGTGCTATTCTTGTTATGAAAGATTGGATTTAGAAAATAAAAACAAATTTTTGTCAAACATTTTGAACATTTTTCTTGAAGTCATAAATCATTTTTTAAAGTCAAATGTTTATTATTTAAAGAAATGAAATGCAATTCATTTGCATCTGATTTAAAATCCTAAGAACTCTCATCCCATGAATGCCAGTAAATGACTCTAAAGTATATGATATTAAAAAGGTTTGTAAATTCAATATATTGTAAGCATTTACTAAAAACACATTACTATTTGTTTATATTATATAAAAATGTTTTTATTTGGACTAATAATTCAAATAAATACAAATTTTGTTCTCAAAACTTTGCATTAATTAACTTATTTTAAATCTACGAAATTATATTTGATTAATAATATGAAAATTTCATGTTTTACGACCAATTTATGCGGAAAAGTATAGCAAAAAACACTTATCACAAGACATGATATAATTGTCATAAAAGTTTAATTTATCACTATTTGAACAGCTTTTCAAAAGTAAAATTAAAAAACTATTTTAGTATTCAGTTGTAAACAGTTATAAATCTCACCATTTCTTTACACCTTAAATATGTTTCTCAATAATTATCGCTTTTATTCATATTTTATTTCTAATTAATATTTATTTTATATTCAAAAAGGTTTCCAGAATTTCAATGTTTCCCTTAAACTCATCAAATATTCTGCCATTAAATGAATGAATATATTAATTATTGTGCAAACAATACAACATATCTTTCCCTCAAATACATGACAAAACAAAATACAAAAATAGCTTTTAATTTATGGAAAATAATTGATTTGAAGCTTAACTTTGCATTCAATCCATACTTTGAACGCATTTTTCATATAAATAGTGTGCAAATGAAGCCAACATTTGAGCCTTAATTTGGGGACAATTACTGCCAAATCAGTCACTCTTATAGTTGTGGCGAAAGTTCTCTACATTTTGTGTACATTTCGCTAATTCTTGTCTCAAATGAGAGACACTTTTCACATGTTTTGTCGTTTAAGGACTGAAGACATGAGAAGTGAATGAAAGCGTCCAAAGAATTATCAAAACATTCAACTCTTATGTATATATTGTGTGATTGAATGCTCTCTTCATATGAACTCATTATACGAGCAAAACATAGCATTTGATCGCAAAATGAGATCTATTTTTAAATGCATTTTATTTTTAATTGCCGTAAGAATTGCCAAAAAAGTTATATATTTCTCAACACATCTCTCGATATTACAAATATATATCCATTTCACTAATCCTTAACATTCACTACAGAAGAGAGAGAGAGAGAGAGAGAGAGAGAGAGAGAGA